TCATTTTCAGAGGTAACCAGCAAACTCAAGAAGCCTACAGAGCAGTTTCTGACTTTGGAATCAAAACCAGGAATGTCGTAAGTGCCGTGACACAAGCTGAAGACTTCAAGGAGGCTCCATAATGCTGTGTCCTCTTCATGTACATAGGCATTTCAACCCTCATGAGATTCTCACAGCTCAAACCTGAGCAGATGGAGTAGGTCAGAGGAAAATCGCACCGAGCATGGGGCTCTTTGCTCCCCAGAAGCCAACGGACCTTCACCTCTCCACTGGCAATGGTCTGGTTTGGGCAAACTTTGTCAAGCTTCTGAACCTCCGAGGGTTCCTTTACCCTTTTGAAGCTTCTGTGGAGCAGTGACAGGATGAGAAATCATGGAATTTCTAGGCTTTAGGCATTAGCCTCTAAGTGAATTTTAGGCTTCTAGCATTAGGCCCCTAAGTGAATTTCAGTTGTTCTCTGGGAGCTGAAGATACACAAATTCAAGTCCTGTGGAGCCAGTTAATCATCCAAGGGTGAATCATTCTCACCCTAGCAAGACAATGCCTCTTCATTCTGCACAGGATGTGGGTTTTGTCTAACGCCTCTAGGCTTGGTCAGGATTAGCTGATGAATTATTCTGAAGGAATCAAGTTACCTTCCAGGAATTAATGGAGAAAACAGTACGTGCAGGCTTAGAAACTGCACTGTTACATTTTAATTTCTTTTTCCCTTGGCAGCAGCTGGACAATTTAATTTCTAAAAGAGTAAGTAACCTTGCAGTCATCTGCAGTCCCTCTTCTACCTTATCCAAACTAGTGATCGGCAATCGGCGGGGGGGGGGGCCGGTGGGGGGGGGGGGGGGGGGGGAAGGGCAGTTTCTTAAGTTTCTTGTCCAGCCCAGCACAGGCTGGGAAAAACTTCTGAAGCCTTGAATACTTCCCTGGGATTTTTTCCAGCAAAGCAACCCCATGCTCTGAGAACCAGGGTTAATGCCTGACATCCCTAAATCATGCTGCTCACCAAGAAGCATACACCATACAGGTAGAACATAGAGTTAAACTGGTAAGAAATTGCTATTACAGTGATAAAACAGACATCATAAACCAAAGTCACCTCAGCATGGAAAAAGGTGGCTTTTAATTACTCCTTTCCATTTTCCGAAATCAGCTCACTAGGATGCACGTTCACTGCCTTGTCTACAAAGCTCATGAACTCAAACCTGCAGAGCTGCCGCCGCAGTGACAGCACTTCTGGGCTCACATGAGGCACCTTTAACCAGTTTTTTTAAAAACCAATTGCCTTCATGATCATTTTCTATCTGCATGGAGTTTATAGGTTTCGTAGGGTCTTGTCTCCGTTTCTAGAACTCACAACGCAAGGCCACAGTTCTGACAATGCCCCTTAGATTATTTACAACCTTTTTAATGGCCTAAGCATTGTTACAGGCAGCAGCAGTTTATTGAGAAAACACTAGAAATCAGCATCCTAAAGGCTGAATTTTGACTGCACCTGATATTAAGCAGGTACTACCCAGCCTCACAAATCAGTAACTATGCCCAACCACTGCCAGTACCTTTTTTTTTTTTTTACTGCTACATACCTGCTGGAGTCCTTTCTACAAAGTTCAGGATATTATTGTTTTGTCTTTTGAAAGATGTTGTTTAACTGAAGATATAAATATTGATTTAGAAGATGGTCAGATAAGATTAGGTCATTGTGAAGGAGAGCCGGGAGGAAATCCAGCAGGCTTCTAAGAAACCTTGCCGGGCTAGGGGAGCAGCTGCACCATTAGGCACACGCAGGTTTTATCCATACACAAACTGCATCACTTTCTGGAAGGGGTAACACTAATTAGTTTTGGATACATAGTGCCTCCTCGCAGCTATAGAAACAATGACAAAAAAAACATACTTTCCCTTAAGAATGGCTTTATGGATACATAGTGCCTCCTCGCAGCTATAGAAACGACAAAAAAACCATACTTTCCCTTAAGAATGGCTTTGACTAATCAGAGCCATGACTGCTTCACATCTCCCACTTACCTGATGAGGTTTCTGGTGTTTTCTTTCAAGAAAGACTGAGCATCTGCCAAAGAATGAACTTTTAAGGCAATAATAATTTGCTGTGATTGTTCCTCCCCAGCCACGGGAATGTTTAAATTGCAATGCTAAATGGGGATATAGGCCACAGCTTTCATAAAGATACTGTAAGAGGAACACAACCCTATAGTCCTGGCTATAAAATGAAGAGCCCATCTGCAAGTTCACCCCACTGTTGTACTGGATGCTAGCGTTGCTTTATGACAAAAGGCTTGTGTTTCCCGTGCTTGGCAGCACCTGCAGCCGCCACCTGTGAAGAATCTCTTACATAAAAATAGCTGAGGTAATTCCAGTTTTGTGGAGAAGGGAAATAAAAGAAACCCCACCACCAAACACCGAAAACATTTTCTTACAGTGACTCTACTTTCTTTGAAGCAGGTTGCTCAAACTTGCCTGGCTCACAGCTGATGCGCTGGGGATCAACACTAACCGCCCCAGCAAAAGTGACAGAAGCCTTGCAGAGCCATCACAAGGGTCCCGCTGTGCTCCCACTGAAGGCAACGCTGGCTTTAGCAACACAAGTTGGGCCATAACTGAATGTAATGTCTCACTCTATCCTCCCTAAGAAGTTATACTAAACTCTCTCCCCAGATAATCTCGCTACAGCTGGGTGCTTTATTAAAATAATATTTGTACTACCCTTAAGGAGATGACAGATTGCTCTGCTTGAGGTGCTAACTGCACTTTCTTTTCCTCACAGACCTTTTCTAAAGCAGAGGAGGAGAAATCACTGTGCTAGAGCAGTGCAACTCAACTACTGATGTTAATACTTTAATTCCATGCCCTGAGAAAATGTTTCTGTAAGCCAATACTCTTGTGTATAAGACATTTATATACCCTGCATACATGCACTCTGAATATACGTGTGCATGCTTATTAGTGACACAGTATATCATTCACTTAAAAAATTTCCTACGTTAAATAGAAGCTTTTAAGGAAAAAAAAATCATTTTTAGACCATCAGCTGTATCAGCAGCTGTCAAAAATGGTAATCGTGGCTCCAATCAAGATACATGTTATGCACTTTATTAGTAACATATGATGGTAAGGAATGATGCCACCCACATATGCATATATGTACAATATTGCAATCAGAATATTCATAAGGAATTTTTAATTTTCTCTTGGAACAAAGAATGGGACACTAATAAAAACAAAATATTACAGCAAAAATATTTGCTATCTTCATGATAAGAACAAAGACATGAGACGTAAATAACATGGGTCTTACATAGAAATACATTTATCTTAGGAATATTTTTTGCTTGATTCATTCTAGTTTATGCATTAACATCACTTCTCCCTCTTCAGACTGAACGGTGGTGGGGGGGAAATCACATGGGATACAATAACTTAGCTTGTGGTTTATGAATCATTAGTAGCCTGTAACACTTGAAGTGGTACATACACGTATTGAAAGACAGCAGTCGGAAAGGTCACATGTTCCCATTCATGCAGAAAAACTCATGAGTTCACAGAATGGAAAATGAAAGCAATAGATGCTTATAGCTTAACCCAATTTCACTTGGTTGTAGATGCACCAGACAGTCCAAAAATTTCTCAAAAAGCATTTTTTCATTAGGCAGCACGGGTTGGCAGCTCTAATTACACACTCCAGTGATTGTCTCTGAAACAACAGACTCTCCTGAACAAAAGAGAGATGACCAAGAGGATGAAGTTAGGAAAGCCTCATTTACCTGAAATGATTCACAGGTATTCTTCCCACTTCCTCCCTCGTTCTTTCTCGTAAAACGTGAGTGTTCAGCAGCAGAAAGAGATGTTATTAAAGACAAGCACCCATCTACAAAATAAATGCTCTGAAGGACTTAGCTACCAAGCTGAAGAAGAAAGCTCCCAATCGTAGCAATTCCAGACTATGCTTTACAGGTCTGATAATTTCACACCCAGCCACCAGAAACAAGGGGTTTAGGCTGTGTTAGGAATCCTAAATAAAAATGGGTCAATGTTCTCTGGGTCTCTCCCCAGAAGACAGAACTGAAGACAGAGTTATTTTAAAGGCTAATCTCTGAATCTTGTAGCTGAAAGTCAGCAATGACACACCCTGGTGGGCCCCTGCAAACTTGGGGGCAGCCCCCTTGCTTACGCTCACCATTACACAAGGTCTCTCGCATCTTCTAGAGTTCTCCTGAAGCACTTAAAAGAAAAGCATATTGAAAAGCAAAAGCTGGTGCATCGAATTGGGATGTCTCTCCTCACTTATTTCGCACTCCATCCTCCCATAGTTGACAGGTAATTCCATTCATTAAATGATTACCTCTTTAAAGCAGTTATGATTTTTAGTCCCTACCTCTACTCTTACTGGAGGGCTGAGCCAGAATCTCAAGGCCAAGAGAGTCAGAAAACCTATTTCCAATTCCAGATGGATGTTTGACTGGGTGGATGATGTTTGTCTAAAAAATTAAAATCAAGAAGACCAAAGCCCCAAACTTATTTCTGCCATGAGCTAGAACCTCAGTTTCTTGACAGACAAATGATAAGATTATTGCATAAAATACTGGTTTGTTCTTTATTTGCTCTTTACTTCGCTGCTGAGCCTTTTATTTAAATACTTTATCATTGCCTGGAACAGCTCACAGGTTTCCAACTTTTAAGCTCCTTTTAGAGGGGGAGTATTAAATCCAGGATGTAAATTAAGCCTTCATTATTGGGAATATTCTCTTTTCAGGGACGCAGCAGGGTTTCCAGCATGCCAAAATCTTGTTTGGACCTTTTCAGAGTGTAGCCAAGATAAAAAAAAAAAAAACAAACAAAACACATGGAGCCAGAAGGGCTAGAATATTTTTTCAATAATCAGCTGAAGATAACTAAAGAAACTGGAAACTAGCAGTGAGGAAAGGAATTAAAAATAAATTTTAAAAAGGAAGAAAAAAGCTCAATCTTTGAATTTGAACAGCGTGTACTGGACATTTCAGAAAGCATTCTGGATATTGCCAAAGACTTTCTATTGGATATTTGAAAACACTTCCCCAAAACTGGAAAGCTATTATCTTCTTAAGATTTTGCAACAGCGGAAGTACAAAGCAACCATGGGCCATGAACACAAATGTTTACTGAATCTGTACCTTGTAGAAGAATGTATATATTTTGGCACACATTATTACCGTTTTCCAAAGGGAAAAGCCACCCACAGGTATCAAAAGGCAGGAACTTCCACTTGCTCATTCAGGCTGAAAACACGTACATCCCTTAATGGAGCAGCTTGTATCACAGCAAGTCATTAAATGTAAAGAACTGACATAATGAAAGCATCTCTACTTCCACTTCTATACATATTCAAACGGCAGGCAACAGTATGAGTTACTTTTCCTATACTCAGCTACCTCACCAGAGGACTCTTCTCATACAGCTGGCCTCCCCAGGACCAGCAATGTGTGCCCATTTTCTCTCTAGCACTGGACCTGGCAAAGAGACATGGACCCTTTTTGGAAAGGTGAGTGTTCCAAGTATGTCTACCTTATTCTGCTATATATATTGCCATTCAGTCTTCCTGTGTCTGAAGCATTTATCATACAAAATGTTAAATCAAGATCATCAAGTTTAGAGGCTAAGTTTAGAAAGCTAAGTTTACAGGGGCCTTCTTATATAAAAGGATTTTCTAAATCTACAGTGAAACAAGAAAAAGAAAAGCATTTAACAATATCTATCATACCAAAAGACTGTCTTGGAGTTAAGAAGTTCCCCATACCCAACTGTAACAATCTGTGGAGAACTTCGGGTAAGATTCCACCTTCTGGATGGTACATCTGTGGGAACTCAAAGAGATGGCACCATTGATGGTACTGAATCTGCAGGCTCAACTTAAAGCTTGAATGTTTGCAAAAAGTCTGCTAACTCAGGTCTGAGTTCTTCAGTATCTGTAGGGCCTTAGTATTATTGTAGTGCTATCAGTTGTGTAGGGGTGCAGATACAGCACGAGGTAAAGGAGAATATTTTCAAAACCACTGCAGTGAGAAATCCACATCCCAAATTCAGATAAATGTAATAACACAAGGTGAACGTTAATGAAGTCCGCTCCTTCTGTAGCTACAATGCATGATATAAACAGCAAATATTTCATCAAAGTGAAACATCACCGTTTTCCTTTCAGTCACCCTTACAGCTTTTAACAAACTGTGAAAGACACAATTTAAGTTATACGAGCATAAAAATTTTGCAAGACAAATGACACAATTCACAATGCAGAGAAATAAATGCAAAAACACATTTTCTGATACTCCACAAATATTCAGAGGAAGTTTAACACACAAAATGGAATTTCTTCAGCAGCACTGATTAAACTCAAGATGAGGCAAGGATCTTCTTTACAAAGTAAAGGCACCAGCTCTTTGTAAACACGTACTCCTCTCACTTTAACTGAGAAAGCACTCAAAATATTCCATGGAAGCAACCTGTGTGGTAGTGCTCCATTGCCCATAAATACTTCATGGCAGAGGTATCAAAGGCCTTTCTCCTCCTTTTTACTGTATTTAATAAGAAATGGTTTTTTGCAATTTTTCTAGTGGGAAACTCTTTAAATCTCCCCAGAAATGTTACAATGAATCTGTAAAACAGTGTTTTCTCTTATCTGCCTTCTGATACCTATCAAGAAGTTACAAGGCAAAAGAAATGTCAGATGCCAGTATGAAACATATTTGCAGTCATCTCGTTTTCAGTATTGTGCTATAGACAGTTTCCCAGCAGAAACCGTTGGCTTATATTAAAAATACAGATACATTTTTTAAAAAGGAACTTGTGAACATCCTCTAGCTGTGCAGCTACCTACTCTCAGATTTTTCAGATGCACTAGCAAAGACTGAATGAGAAATTAACTATCTCTCAATTCTTCAGGGAAAAGAAGATTAGGTACTTCTGATCATGATGACTGTACTTCAGGATTCCAGATTTTTTCAAGTATGCATCCTGAATGTACATGTCTCCCTAGTGTGGAGAGTATTCACACAGTTCTTTACTAACGGAACTGCAAAACTTGGAAACCGTTAAAATAAATATTTCATACAAAGGTGAATAGTTTGCATCTTGGGCAAAATGAACGGAGCATCTTCATAGTTTCCACTGCACAACTATCACCAATATCACCAAACACATTCTACTACTCATACACACAAATCCAGTGATTACACTAACTAATATTGTTCAGTATCCAAACTTGTGCGTTTCTAAGCCACCTTCTTTCAGTTTTATAAAGCTGACTGAATTTTTAATGTAGTATTTTCAGGTTCTACAGGACTGTCAACTGGTACCTGGAGCGGGGGGAAAAAAAAGAAAGCAGAAATTAAGCTGTTATACGGCAGAAGCTATTCCTAACCTCAGTATTCTTGGGTAATTATCAGGTTAGACTCCAATAGCATATGTAGTTAATTAGCCAAATTAGTAATATTTAGAAAGCCCTATTTTTCCCTTCTCTCTGTAATTAAAAAAAGACACATAGAATTGAGTTTCTTAGTATAACTCTGAAGTATGTATTTACTGCATATAGATATTTATCACACACAGAATAACTCTCAAGCTTTTTTTCTGCATTACGTTTAAATACAGTAGAATCTTGATGATCAAGGTTCGGAATCAAAGTGCTGTTGTACCTTGTTAACACAGGCAGCTCTCAGTTATTTATGGTAATATCAGGGTGAGGACTCCAGGCTTTTGTTATATCCTGGCTAATATAAATTAAGCTCTGTGACAATCTGGGCTAATTAATAAGGTGATAACAGAAAACAGAAGAGTCATGGACCACTGCCTATAGTCAGCATGTACACCCCTGAGATTGCCCTGACCCACAGGATGCCGTACTGTGCATACACAGCTGCACAGGTTTCAGCTCTAGCGTGGAAGTTTCTAAACCTTATGCAGACACTAATACCATGCACCTGATCATAGATGATCAAAAGCAAGACACCTACACACAAAAAAAAGCGTGACAGAGGATCTTGCAATATCTGACTGCAAAAAGCTGTTTCATTATCTTGATCCAAATGATCAAAAAGCCCACAGCACTGAAAAAAGTTTCCAATGTCAGCCTTATTCTGCTAGTAACTGTGATAATTTGAAAGAGATGCTGAAACATGGCCTTGGGAACTTCTGAACAGCAGAAAGTGCTATGCTCACTCTTTTATTTAAATTGAGAGGGTGCTCAGCAGAAGAACGGACCCAGCTACTCATGCAGCACAGTACAGAAACTGCAGCATGACTTCTGTTCATCAGACACTGACTTCACTTAAAGGGACTGCAGGTACTTTAAATAAAATATGTAGTCTATAGCACAGCCTCCTAACCTAACACACAAAAAGGGTTCACCATTTACAATGCTACCTGCAAATACAAAAAGGCAAGATTCAAGCAATAAAATCAGAGGTTAATATTAACCACTTAAAATTCAGAAAAATCTGAGAGCAGGTGGTCTTTTATTTTTTTCACGGGAGCTAAGGGAAGAAACAGTTATCTGAGGCCAGCATCTCATGTGGCTCTGTTGTTCCAAAGCAATATGGAAACAGTCATATTGCAAGTTTTTGCCAATTACTCTTTTGCTTTTAATATTATTATGCCAATAGAAGCCAAGCATTCGAGTACGGTAATACAATCAGAGTAAGAGAGTCACCACTTACAGCTTTAACGTCCAAATTCATAATCCCTGAATTCACATTGTGTCTTCGCAAATCTGATTTTATTAAGGCTGAAGCAAAAAATAAAGAGAAAGCTGGTTCACAACTTTGCAATGACATGCATTTCAAGGGAAACGTTTGTACAGTGCAAGCACACGGAAGCTGCTTTCAGCACATATTCAAAATCCCTGTATTCACTCTTCTACGATTTTAACTTATTGACAATTTGAACTTGCTGCTCACAAAAAACCACACACGGAAAATTACAATAAAAGCTTTTAAAGCATGAGTACTTAAAGCAAAGCTTGATGGTTTTAGCACTTTCAGCACAATCGTAAGTACCAGCATGTGTAAGTCACCGGTACAGTTCAGCAATACATCAGCAGTTTCTTGCTTTTGCAAAACTGCAAACTGTCTCCGTTTATGTATTTGTTTACATTTACTATCCTACTCTGGAGATAGACATCTGCCTCAAATTCAAGGCATAACTCAAGAAATGGACAACAGATGGCTGTCCATACATTAGCGACATCATCCTTAAAACAAAGGGTGTGTGCACAGCAAGTATTTAAAGTGAAAAACAAAGAAAAAAAAAAACCAAAACCCAAACCCTGAACTTACAACTTTCTGTTAGTCCAGACCGGAAGCCACATATTTAAATCCTAGATGTCTCAGACATCTAAAAACTACCCAGAAATTCATTATCAATTAAAACCTCCACATTTTACATTAAAGAGAAATCATTACTTACATTTCTGATTAATTACCTGTTAAAATAATGCCCACAAAAATCCAAGCACAAAGAAAGAGGTTTCCTGCACGAGGACTGTAGTCTGTTGTGAGTTTTCCTTGAACAAGTGTAAAGATAATCCCAAATATCTATAAACAAACAAGTCACTTCATCAGGATCACATAGAAAAAAGTCATCACTTTACCTTGCAAAGTTTCAGGTCACATCTTATAGAAACCAAATTAAAAAAAAAAAATTAAGACTACAGAAACACAACAGAGACTTAGCAGCCAAGTCCAAGAAAGCCTTCTTAGATTTGAGCAGAATGGCCTTCCTGAACATTACTTCACTTGAAGAAACAAAATTATATAACCTGTGCTGATGCATTAAGGAGACCTGAGGAAGTGCCTTCAGACTCTGGGTATGTAATTTCCACAGCAAATTCAAACCCAAGTGGGAGATAGCCGGTCATGAAGAACCTGTTGAAGAGGAGAGTAAGAGGATGACAGGTGTAGCCTTCATCTATTACCACAGAAAATCAAACATAAACACGTGATATTATGAATTAGCTGGTATTCTGAACTGTCTGTTTTCAAGACCTACCACAATTCAATACTTGCTTTGCCTGCTTCATTCCCCTGACTCACCCAACAATTTTAGCCATACGTCTCTCTCTTTAGGACAAAGATGTTTTAACATACTTGTCCTGTTTCCCGTAACCACCTGCACTCCACTCCATACATATGAAAGAAACTACTCTAGCCAGTCCACAAGCCACTCCATGATTGAAGCCAGTTATTTTCAAACGGCAGACATACATGAACATCATCATTTGACCAACCCAAACATCCATGCTGGAGGACAAAAAGCAGCCATCAGCAGGGAGTGAGACTGGACACTGGAACGCCTACTAGAAGCTGCTGTGGAAGAAGAAGCAGCGGAGGGGACCGACGGGTGACAGGAAGAGCAGGGGCTTAAATCAGTTGAGGTTGGTTGATTGTTATTTAGACTGAAACTTGCAAGACATTTCTAGCTCTACCTTCACTGCCATGTCTGGATACAGCACTATTCCCTCAGCACCTCTGGGGGCTTTTAGATTATGTACCTATGAGAAGTGATCAAGCTCTTCTCAGCAAACAAAGTACCCAGCATGTTGCTTGGGCTATCAAAATATAGATTAATCAAAATGCACAGAAGCCAGTCTACCTAGACTTGCTTGGTTAAACTCTAATCACACTGGTGAACAGAAAGATTCAACTTTACTGCAGACAGCTTTTTGAATTGGAACCAAACAAATTGACCACATACAGATTTCTGTTAGGTCCATAAAAATGTTAAATGAAATTCACTGCAAAGTGAGTTACTTCAGATTTATTCTGATGTAGCAGCAGGTGAAACCCTAGTAAACCCTATCTGTACTGTCAGCTATAGGCATAGGTTCAGAGCATGGTGATGGAATATACAGTAGAATAATTTAGTTAACACAGTTAACCGTTGTTTCTGAACAGAACTGCAGTAAGTCTTCGAGTCCTCTTTAATTGCTCACCCAAGTACTCCTCCAGTCACGAACACTACTATAAGGTATCCGAGGTCCAGGGTGAAAGTAAATACCAGCAACCCAATGAAAGACAGAATGTAAACAATCAAAGTAGTTTGCCTGCAACCCAACCGAAAAAAACAAATAAAATTAACAGCATTAACGTAAGGGTCATAGCACATTGCTGAAGCATGGAAAAGTAACGTAATTGTTACTTACTCTCTAAGAACTGACATTCTACACCTATAAAATTTGCTTCTTGTAATTCTGCCTCAAACATATCATGCAATGAGAACGTATCCCTTCCCAAATTCTTTATTTCCTTGGTTATATAGCTGCTTCACTCAAGCCTAGAGACTTCTTCAGACTCTCAAAGAGTGGACAATCACAGCAGATACTATTACCTTAAGACTATTTTAGTTCTCCGTTATGTTGTACCTCTTGGCCATTCTGCAGCACTGCCCATTATACAATACATTGATACATGAGCAGCCAAATTGAACACTATTGGCAATAAAAGTCAGCCTGAGAGGCAAGTCAAACAAATCTCATTATAATGTTCTATTTATTTTAAATCTGGAATGAGGGTTGTCATCCAAAATATTAAAGCACATATCACTTATTTACAAGCCAAAACACATGCAGAAACAAAGGCAATCTACAGCATTAACATCCATTAGGTTTCTAGAGCTCTTGCACATAATGTACTAAGAGTCACATGGGAGAACTACTCCACCACAAGCAGCACAAACTGCTCACTCCCGGGGGGCACCACACCATGGGTGATGGACCTGGGAGCTCCTACCCCAGAACAGAGTTCTGCTCCATGGTCATCCCCTGAATTAAAGCAAACGTTATGCAAAACAGTGCAGAGTAAGTTTTGAGCCTTTATGCTTTCCTAGCAGAAGGAGCCCACTGGGCCACCTGGCCACTGTATGTAGGACATACAGTGCTGTCCTTGTTAGCCTTACACTCCTGAAGACACAGGAGTAGATGGAAAACCCCTTCACATCTTTCTTTGCATTCTCCTCTCTCATTTCTTTTGTCCAAGAACAAGTAAGAGTCTCAAGCTTTTGCTGTAGCCTCAGAAACTAGTCTCCATTAAGGCCGCTAAAAGATCAGGGATGAACTGCATTTTATCATCAGTTCACTTCAGCCCTTATGTTGCAGTATTTTTCTAATGCAATTGCACCACTCTCCTGCCCCTAACCCCATACATGCCTACCCACACTTACTTGTATGTTTTAGTGTAATCCAGCCACAAACCACAAATAATCGAACCCACCATTCCTGCCACCACCAGTGTCAAGCCAATTCTCCCAGCGTTCACTTCTTCTCCCTTTCAACAAATATTTATATGGTGCTTATTAATAACTTGCTTCCACTCAGAGTCAAGTTCAGACCTCTTGGCAATCATAAGCACAAACAAACATTCCTGTGACTCCCATAGCTGTATGGTGCAAGAAACTGTAAGGGGGGTATAAAGGAAACCAAATGTCTAAGCACATATAGCACCTACATAATAATAAACATCACTTCTGCAAATGTACAGTAAAAAAAAAAAAAAAAATACAAAGAAGACCCAAGAAACTTACCTCATAATGAGTTACTATCATCTGGTTTAACAACGTGGAGACAGAATAAAATGCCCCAGTCATAATGCCTGCAGATCCAAAAGGAAAATTTCAGTCATTCCAGGTGTAGCCATGCAGATCTGCTACCTTAAAGAGTTGATCTTCTGATATTTAAGACTCACATCAGATGCAAAACCTTTTATCTGCCAGGTAATATCTCTTAACCAGTCCTACAAATGGTATTTTTAATCCTGCCGGATTTTCCAGCACTGGCTGCTGAGTAAGTAGAAGTTTGACACTCTCTCCCCCACATAAAAACCACCACCCCCAATAAAACAGCACACATTTGAACTGTTCTGCCAGACTACAGCCAGACAACACCACTTACCGTAACTGATCAGTAAAAGTACAAATGGAATATTTTTGAACAAGTTAATAATCGATTGCTTGTAGGAGTAATCCTCGTGAGGCATAGTTTGCAGGACTGCTTGAGAGTGACTAGGAGGGTATTTGGGCTTTTCTTCAAACACTGGGGAAAAAGAAGAAGGAACAATTTTGATTTGTCTTTACCAGGCTAGTGCTTTTCTTTTTGAAGTATTTCAGTTTTATGAATTTCAGAAGATTAACTTGTGTTTTTTAACACTTCCATGAAAAAAACATTCTAGATCTTCTCATGGAAGAATCAAGTCACAGCCACAAAGAAGTGCTAAATATGTTGGCAGCAATCAGATGTGACCAAATACAGTTAGACAGACAACATCTGCAACGAGCCTAGACCTTTGTATCTGAACTGTAAGATTAACAGAGAGAATTCACATTAGATCATAATGTCCTTGTAGCAAAAAGCCTAAGTGAACTAAATATTCTGAGAGAGGTCACTCCATGTGAAGCAAGACATACAGCAAACTGGTTGTTGCTTAACCCTGACACAACAGGTAAGTGAACACAAGTAAACCGGAGAAAATGTAACCTCAACTACTTTGAGCAAAGTCAGATGCTTTAAGTGAGATGTTGTAAACACTCCCTGTGGTCACCATTTAAATCACAAGAAGGGAACACTTACCAACTCCTGTTAAGAAGAACAAAAGCGTGGACACTATCGCTGTTCCATAGAACATGATGCTGATGTTATGTGCCATTAGATCGATATCGTTTGGTGTATTTGGAACCAAAACAGGTGGCAACAAAAAGCCAATTGCAGTGCCAAGCTGTAAAACAAGAAAAGAAATCCAAGAATCATTTCCATGTGAGCATGAAAATTAACAGAAACGCAAAGTCTTACAAGGTAGAATTCAGAACTTATATCATAGTAAGTATGAATAAAACTACGAAGTAAAAAATGTTCCTTTAGTATCATATTTCTGAGCCATTTGCTCTCAATGACATTTCACAATCAGGTCTCCCATAACTCAGGTTTTAACCTTTTAATTTCTAAATGAAACTATAATACTACACCTAGTATATAGCACATTTAACAACCAAGCATTAGGGAAGTTTTTTTGCAGAACAATCTTCCACGTGACAATGCTGTGCATGCACATAAATTTGTCTCAGTGACCGTGCAACTGAAGACCTCAAGATGACAAGAGTAGAAACACCCTTCTCTTTTTCTCCATCAAAACGTTCCACTTGATGTCACGATCCTGTCACTACAGTAACGAAGACTGACGAGCAAGGTTTATTGCAGAACTGATACAGCAGAAATGAGCAAGAGAAAAGGAGCATCCTTACTAAGAAACACAAAAGCAAAACCTATACCTGCAATTATTGCTAAGGAAATAAAGAAAAAAAAAAAAATCACAAAATAAAGTAGTAGTGGGTTTGTATCTGGAGTCAATTCCAACGTAGCAACTGACTTTGTATTAAAAAGAGTCAAAAAACAAGGACTAAAATTTTGTGTGTGTATATATATAAAGCATTTTAAAACATGAAGGAACAACCCTCCAATTTATCTCTGCTGCTCCTCCAAAACTAAACTGCATTTTAAAGTATTGGAACAATTTTTATTTTTTTTTAAACTAAAAAAGGCGCATCTATTTCAGGTAAAAAAAATAAAATTTAAAAAAGCACCAAAGACTGTTAGAGTAGCAGGTCCAACGCTCAGAAAGTACTCAAATTAAAGGTGTGCCAATGTGCTTACAAAGCGCCCTTTGTGCATATGCCCTATGAGGGTTTTGATGCCTTTTTTTTTTCTCCCACAGACCATCAGATTTACACAGTATCCAGTTCTCACCTGAATAATTTGTTTCTTTTTATCCTCACCCTTCAGTATACAAACCCTACAAACATGAACTGAGTACACAGTTACTCTTTTGTCTTAAGGTATGTTTTTTCCTCCCCCAGCGTGAGCCAATACAGTATCCACAATATTCCAAGAAGATCAAGTGATACCATTTTTCACCTTCCACACCTGGAGAGGTTAAGGCCAGAAGGACTGAGAGTTCCAATGAGTCTGGCACACCCAGTTTAAGATGCTGAATACTTGTGGAAATCTGGCACCCCTAACAACCCTTGACAGGTACATCGCTGCACTCCCAGTGATTTGTGTTTCAACTGCAAATGATCAGCATCTCAAGAGATAACGGGTGCGATCTGATTTTTGATAACTACTCTGTCCCTCCCCTGCCTGTGGTCCCCAGCCCTGTTTGCTGAAGCTCTGAAGTTATGCAAAATATCTGATAAGAAATCAGATGACCAACAGCCCAGTTGGTTATAGCAACTCAATTCTGTCACATAGTTCACCTTGTGCAATTAAAGAAGTACAGTGAGACTGTACCGTAATGCTTATGCAGAAGTGAACTGCATTGGGATATACAGGCAACAATACTTCTAACTTCCAAGTGCCTAATTTGTCATTTCACTACTCTTTCAGTCTAGCTTTTGAGAGAGTTTGGTTGGTTGGTTGGGGTTTTTTTTAAGAAAGCAAAAATTGAGAACAGAGAAATTCTGTTGTTTGACACTGTATCAGTCTTAATGGGTCACAAGCAGGACTGGGTTCCTAAGACCTACACAGCACCCAGCTCTGAGCCAGCTGCAGAGCAAGCCACTATCCTCTGCGCAGGACTGCCAGAGGGAGATGACACTTGTTTTGTGCGTTTCACAGGTATCTCCCAGGCAGCAGACAACCATCAAGCACATCAGTACTCTAAGATCAGCCCTAGCTTCTACAGGGGAATACGCTCCAGAAATAAGTAAGTTCTTTTGTTCACACCCCTGCTCCCGCTTTCCTTGTCCACCCTTCTCATAGTTCCTGTCCACAAAACCCCTGTCCTTCCCCGCTTCAACCCCCACATCTCAGCATCCGAGCGAAGCATCAGTTTCAGACGCCCAGGTGGATCCTCAGCACTGTACTGCAGAACTGAGACCCCAGTGACTACTTGCTACTGGGAGGACTGGTGCATCTCAGGAAGAGTGAAAAATCTAGCTGCCTGATTCCAGGAAGCAGATGCAAAATTTTTGCTCAACTGCTAAAACAACCAACCCACCCCCAAATCTTCAGACCAAAAAGGACAGCTGACTTGTCCACTGGAAGACTTCAGTGAAAAAAAAAAAAAAAAAAAGATGTTTTGGAAAACACTGGGAAAATTGCAAACAGCCAGATATGAAATAATAAGCAACCCTAACTGTAAATATGTAACACTAATATTACCACTGTAATAAATCAAAGTGCACAAACATAAAATCATTAGACTCACATGAAGAAAACCAAATCCCCTGTTATCTTAATAGAACTGTACCTACGACCTCAGCCTGCGCCAGAGATTTCGATGGGAATCTTAATGTTTTGTTGCCACAAAAAAAGCAGGGACAGTGGCAGGGGGCGAGAACAAGACTATTGAAAGGGAAAAAACCCATCAGCATCATATCTTCACCTGTGCTTTCAGATATGCCTGTTACCACTCTGATATTGGCCAGGACCGAGGAGCTCAAGGAAATCCGTGACTCAGTTATCAGCTCCCCACAGTGATGTGAACTATCAGAGAAAATTTCATGAGTCACCAAGGTATTGACTATTGGCACTTAACAACTCGAGGCCGTATTTTAAAAGCAGACACTGTCATATGTTGGCATTGGGGCCCTCCATCAAACTTCACGTACTTCACGCCCTTCCAGCTGGGGGTGGATTCAGTCAGATAAACGATGCCAAACACAAAGAGGAAGAGAAAGTGGTGCAGGACAGCTTCTGAAAAGGGTCTTAAGTGATGTACTCCAGGCAGCTGACAGAAGTGTGCAAGCTGCCACACACTGCCATGCAGCCAGGGTCCTTCCTGCAAAGCAAGGCTGGCCGGGGACATAACATCACCTCCGCGCTTGCCTCCGCTCCATCACTTTTCCTCTCTCCAGTGCCGCCCCATAACCATTTCTCAGAGAATGGTTTTTCCCACTTAAACGACTTATTTTTAAACCAGCGCCACGCCAAACTCGCTTCTCCAAAGCCTCCCTTGCCCCCCGCCACCCCTACCTGGTTGCCCAGCACAGCCACGGCGCAGGCGGTGGAGACCTCGGTGGGGCCGGACCAGACGGAGGGGACACGCGGGGCCAGCCCCAGGATGAAAACCTGGGCGACGGCGCAGACGGCCTGGGCTGCCAGGGTGACGGGGTACCGGCCGGGGGCCAGGCTGGCACACTTGAGCCAGGCACCCAGGCCATTGAGGCCGGCACCCAGCAGGGCGGTGAGGCGCAGGCCACGGGCGGCCAGCAGCCAGGTGGCGGGC